CTTCAATCGACCCCTTGTACTTTTGAATCAATTTTGATAACTTTGAAATATAGTGAACCAAAATAAACCTTGCCATGCCATTTCTTCCAAAACAACTTCAATGGTGAGGTTTGAATTTATCAAGCTTTATTGACTAGGTCATGGAAATAAACTCATGAACCTATGGATTAACTTGCTAAGCCACATTGCATTTACCTATATTGTTGACAAGTGAGACAAACCAACATTGCGTTTTATTAATTAAAAGGAAAGTAAAAAAAAACATGAATGATCAAAAAAGAAAAACAAGTCAAGGTGCTTAGTGATTCCTCAAAGAGCAAAGCTAAAGATAGGGAGGAGAACCAAAAACCCTAATGTGATCTTGTTGTGATTGAATCAATATGGTATGATGAAGGGATCTTAGGGGCAAAAATTGGGGTACAACACTATCCATGAAAGACCCTGTTTATGTCCAACTCACACGAGAGTTCCTTAACTCTCTTATTTATTCTCCCATCCTAAACACAAATAGTTCTAGTGGGACTGTTTACTTTCATATGTTCAATATAAGATATGAATTCAGTTTTAACCATTTAGATGAAATGCTAAAATTCCCACATGAGGATGTTGTTAAGTGTGAAGTCCCATACACCATTGGATTTCACAATGCTGTGAGCCCGTTACAGAGGGCACTAACAGGGAGACCAACATACATTTTTGAGGGTAATAATGCTTCATTTATTTATAACCCGCCCATACAATATTTTTGCCAATTGTTGGCATGCACTATATTTGGCCGGGAAAATTCGAACAAGGTTAATGCTAAAGAATTATCTTATTTGTTTGCCATTTTTGTACCTGAGAAAATTAATACATTCATATTCATGCTCTCTCACATGCATGTGCTCGTCATTGCAAGACGAAGACACATCACTTTTGGAGGATTAATAACCTCCATTGCCCGCGCCATAGGGCTAGAGCATAAAATAACAACCTTAGTATTTCTCTCGTCACGTTTCATTGATATTGACATGGCTAGGAGTATGAATTTAGTGAAACAACGACCAGGCGGTAAATTTAACTTAATGATTAATAATCGTGTTTTTCCGGGTATCACTCTCTCAGACTCAAACCGCATAAATATGCGCGATCATAATAACTTTTTCTATATTGATAACTCAGTATCTAACCCAGTCCCCGCGCACATTCCTAAGAATGTAGGTACTAGTGGGGACACTGATGACGAGTATGACCAACGAAATAGGGGGTCTCTAGTGAGTACCCAACCCTATCCCTCTCATGCTAATGTAACACATATGCACTCTGCACCTGGTTCTTCTAACTTCTATGCAAGTACCTCTTTTTGTGGCTATTATTTTATTGAACCTATGATGAGAGAACAAATAACGCGCAAGGAAGAGCGTGATGGGTTGTTCTATGCTATGTATGAGAAACAACAAGAGATGATGGATTACATGCACACATGTCAAGATCAAACAACAAGCTCCTTCATCCAGGTACAATAAAATCAAGCATACATGGCACTTAGCCTCCGCCAGCTGCAAGATTCCAACACATCACTAGTAGCCCAAATTCAGCATCTTAAGCTGTCTGAACGTCCACACTGTAGCAGGAGTTGTCGCTGACGACAATATTCATTCGATGAGACATGGGGTAATAGAGGCATGCATTAGCCTCATTCTAGGTTCTACCTTCCTTTTCCTCCTTATTTCAAAACATTGGGGACAATATTCAGATTAAGTGTGGGGGAGGTACTTTATCGTTTTTATTTTTTGTTTTCTAGGTAAATTTAATTATTATGTTTATTTCCTTTGTTTAGCGTTAATCGAGTCAAATTCATGTGTTGTCGAGTCTTTATGCGTGGTTTCTATTATTTATTTGATTTTCCCAGTTTCTTGAGCCATGACAAAAATTAAAAATTACATTTTGGTTTGATACATGACACAACGCTCTAAGAGTATATACGTTATTTTGCACTTGAGGCTATGTTAGAAAGACTTGGGAAAAGTTCAATAAAATCAGTACCATTTTGAAACCCTAAACCCCTTAAGTATGCAAGGTCAATTTGAATACTTATTTTGCCGAGATCTTAAGTTTATGTTTTAAAGTAGCCCCAAGTAGTCTATATTAGCAGTCAACATCATCCTAAGCACACTCTACGTAGGAAGATCGATGAATATAGGTAAATGATCCTAATTTTTTTAATGAATATATTATTTAATTGAAAATGGGAACGCACCTTTTAAGTTTGGTGACCTTCACCCGGTCACTTAGCCTAATGGATGTTGAACCTACAAAAAGATAATAATAATTACCCGCTGTTAGTTGGTTCAGAGTTCGTTGGTGCTGGACTTGGTAGGGCAAATTACGGTCTGATTCCCTACAACTGTAGTTAGGAAAAATGGGGCTAGGACCGTTTAATTACCAACACCCCGAATGAAAAGGATCATAGTCGCTAACCCGTGTTCTTATTATGAGTGTGTACGGATAAAGAGCTTAATGTGATTGCGCCCGAATGAAAGTGGATAAAATGAAACAAAAGAAACAGGTCGAGTTATAATAGAATGATTTAGATTAGTTTGCATATGGTGGGAGTTTTTGATCGCATATCGTGATTTCGTGTCATTTTGGTATCCTCGGTGTTGACATCCAGTACCTATATATCTAACACAAGCCTGTCAACCACGTATGATTTGAGTTTTATCGTGTTTTTGTTTCAAATTCATGCTTAGTGTGATTACCATATTGGTTATTTGCTTAAAGACAAGAAAAAGTTCAAGTATGGGGGGATTTGATAACACAAAATTTATCGTATATTTGACTTGACTCACATGAATTTTAGTTTAGTTTTTCTTTATTTATGTCTTGTTGCGCTGGTATTATTGTCCTATTTCATGTATTTCAAGCAGAATTGGAGATTTGAGTGAAAAGAAGAAAAAAAATGCAAGTAAAGTGGTGAAATGACCGAAGAGGGGTGAAGTCTTAGCAAAAAGAAGGAAAATATAAAGAAGCCCAAGGAAAGTCCAGGAAGAAAAGATGGCGTCTGCCACATCTTTTATGGCACCCACCACTATAACAGGTGGCGCCCACCACCATAACACCTCACGCCCGCCACCACCAAGGGTATGACGCCCACCACCTCCACACGTGGCACCTGCCACGAAGCCACTTCTCCTTATTTTTCTCCTAGATTCTCTCAACTCACCCAGTCTTTCTTGTTCAACCTAACCATCTTACATTCACCGTGCTGACCGTCAGATTTTCAAGGGAAGTTTGCATTATAAATAGGGACTCACCTGCATTCGATCATTTTTAATTTTGCAGACAGAATATTATTCTTAGATTGTAAGCAGAAATTCACCTGTAATAGTGATAGCTCTTCCACATCGAAGGACTATCACAACTTAGTTCTAAGTATTTTAAATTTTTCATTATGTATTTTGGATAAACAATCTTGCCGACATAATTAGAAGCAATTCTAAAGCAGTTGTCATTTACAATATTATTTATTTTATATCGGTTTCTATTTAATTGCTTTCTATGTGTTTATGATTGTTTTGATATCATTGTTGCACTGGTATCCCAATCTGTTCAAACTTAATTTAGATAATTATTGTTTATGTTGAAATCATGTTTTATTCCACGACTAATGATTGTGATAGCATGTTTATATTTAAAACCATGTCTGGCTAAATTGTTTGATACCGGTATATAAGAACTGTCGTCCGAACGAGATTCAGTAATAATTGGCGCTAATCTTTGTAAGCTATTTTTCTGGTTATAGTATTTAATTCTAAAATTAAAACAGTTTTTGTATGAGAGTAAAAAGCTAGTAAATATTAGGATCAAAAGAGCGACAATTTGAGATTTTAACCGAATAATAGAATCTAGATATTAATCCTAAACATAACGACAACACTTTAATATTAATTAGAATTTATTGATTTCTAAAAATTATTTTTAATTCAAATGGGTGAGTGACAACAAAACATCATGGTTAAGAGTATAGTCAGAGTCAATGACACACTAGTGTGAGATAAAGTCTTTTAAATCAATATTTTCTACTGAAAAGTATTTTGACATCTTTTTATATACGTCAATGTTTTATCGAATCTCCGAAGTATGACGAGTTACATATCAATGTCCAGTTGTTGAATATTTCTATTAAAAGTCTGAATTTATTTCACGTTTTTCCTCAAATCCAAGATAAATTATTAGCCTTAGATTTACACAGTAACATTAGATAACATTAATTTGATTATCAGTCCATGTAAATTCGATATCTTTTAAAATTACGCGATTAGACTGTGTACTTGCAGTTAGTAAACCAGATAAATTTTAAAGTAACAATCAATATTCATTAAATATTAAAAGATTACTCTGATTAACTTTTAATGTTTATTATTATTTTTTTATAAATATTTTACAATTTGACTTATTTTTTCTTATATTATCCAAATCAAATAAGGAGTTTCTTTGTTTTAATTTTTAAAATTTTTATTTATTATTAGATATTTTGTTAAAATATTTAATAAGGAGTTTCTATGTTAAAATATTTAATAAGGAGTTCCTTATAAATCAAATAAGGAGTTTCTATGTTAAAATATTTAATAATAAATATTTAAACCACTTAATATCAAATTACTCGTTTAATTTAAAACAACTTTTAATATTTTTGAACAAATTATCATAAAAATCATTTAAAAATATTATCATTATTTTTTAATTTATATTATTATTATTATTTAATTTATAATAAGAAATAGCCCCAAATGCTCATGGATAGTTAAATAAAAAACACTCAAAGCATTCCCATAAAAAAAAACACTAAAAGCATTGGCACGCTTGTAAGGCACGTGGGATTGTAGTTAGATGTAGGTCAAGTTCTGAATCTAATCTAATCCAATACACAACCTCCGTGCGTGCCACAAACGTTCGCTGTTCTTCCGCATAATCAATCACAAAACCTAGAAACCCTAACCCTAATTCTCTATCCAATCATGGCTACCGATGGCCACGACTCTCGACGCAAGCATCACCGATCATCCTCTCCGGACGACCACGACAAATCCTCTAAGCGTCACAAGCACCGCCACCATCATAGCCACCGCCATCGCCATGGAAGCAAAAAACGCGACGAGGAAATTCATTACGATGGCGAAATTGTTGCTGCGGTTCCTTCTCCAAGTCCCGTTTCTGATCCTGTTCCGCATAATCATCTCGCCGACGATGACGTCGAGGAGGGAGAGATTCTTGATGACGAGCCTTTGGGCGGTGAGGTTGGAATTGGAAAGAAGCAGATCGAATCTGATGTTGAATCTGGGGAAATTGAGGTGAAAGGAGGTCGAGATCTTCGGTCTGAGAAGAAAAATCCGGTATGATACAATCGAATTGGATTGTTTATTATATAATTTTGTTTAATTTCAATCCTGTGTATTGCTACACGTGACATCTGTTTGGTTGCTGAGAAAGCTGAGGCCGTTGAAATAGAATTCAAAGAAGTTTTTGTCATTGTCGATGTTTTGTTTTGGTTGTGAACATTTTATTTGTTTCAGTGTTTCTCTTTTTATCTCGGTGACCAAACAGAGCACTGTGATTTTTTGTTTTGGGATTGTATAATGAGTTTTTTTATTCGTGAGAGCTTGGTAGAGTACCCTGTCAGTGTTTCATAGATATCTAAGAACCCGGTTGCACTGCATGACATAAGTGAAAGAAGTCTCTCTAGGCGTTTCAGTGAAGACTGGTGGCTTACAGTTAATTTGTAAGAGCTGGTTATGTGTTTTATGAATTTATTTTTGCATATATGTATTGATTTTATATGCATTGTTTACTTATTTTTAGCATTACTTTGAGTATTGTAATATTCAACACTTGAGCTCAATTAATTCTCTATGCTGGTCAGGGACTTATTGCTAAAAGTTCAATAACTGAAAGTGAGGACTTCCACAATGATAGATTTATTAGGCCTACTTCTCGAAGTCCTGTAGATGATGATTCTCCCAACCACTCGAGAGATGAAACTCAAGCTGGGAGGGATGTTCAAGCTGGTACTGATGCTTTGGGCAATGGGTATTTGGATGGTAAGTCTTCTAAAGGGGATAAGTGGCAGAATGGAGAGTTTGGACATTTTAAAGGAAATGAGAAACTAAAAGGTGACTATCATGATGAAGCACTGGAGGCTATTAGAAAGGAAGAAAATTCCCACAAGAATGTCATTGAAAGTGGAGAAGAAAGACATAGAGTGCCAGGTAATTCTCCTTTGCACGATGGATACAGAAGTCGATCAAGATCAATTGGCCATACAAGAGACAGGTCTCGTTCTCGCAGTGCTGTAGAAGAGTATGTCCATCCCAGTAGCAGGCACTCTATGGAACAGGGTTCCCTTTATTATACTAGTAGACATAAGACTGAATATGATCTTGATGAGGAAAGAGTGAGTGCATACAGAAGGGAGCATCGTCACAGCAGTAAGGATTTGGTGGAGGATGATAAACCGGAACACAGTACCAGGTATCATAGTCGAGATGCCCGGGATAGGGCTACCTACAGGAGTAGGGACAGAGATGTGGATCTAGACTTGCACAGAGAAAAGAAGCGAGAGGAAACAAGCAGGAATAAGGAGGTTGATTGGGTGCGTAGAAGGGAGAAAGAACGTGGTAGGAGCCATGACAGACATAGAAGAGACATTGAAAAAGATAGGAGCAGGGAAAGGGATGAGGGTAGGGATAGGAGAAGAGAAAATGAAAGGCATAGGAGCAGAGACACAGTTTATGAGAGGGATAGGAGAAGGGAAATGGAAAGAGATATGAACAAGGACAGAACAATAGCTGGTGAGAGAGATAGAGACTGGAAAAGTGAATGGGATTATAGGAACCGGGAAAGGGATAACATTAAGGAGAGGGAGAGACGAGATGATAGATATCGACACAATGACAAAGATGTTCCTAATGGTAAGGATAAGCATACGCGTTGTGACGATGACAATGGAGATAGATATAAGAGACATTCAAGACATGAAGAAAATGGACACCACACAGATAGAAAAAGGAACTATACCATGGAAGAGGATGGAAGGAAACCAAAAGGGTATATTTCATTTTTACTATTTTTTTGTTTGTTTCTAGTATGGTTTTTTTTAACTCTTTGGAATATCATGCTTATTTTGATTTGATTTTGATGTATATTGATTGCTGCAGTGAGATTGAACAAGATGATGTAGACGAGGATACATTGCAACTACCTGAGCAAGAAGAGGAAGATCTGAACAGAATAAAAGAGGAGAGTAGAAGAAGAAGAGACGCAATAATGGAAAAATACAAAAAGCAGAATCAGAAAATAGAACAAGCAGCTGGAAATGATGGAAAAGGTATTGTCTTCTCCTTTTCTTATAGGTTTGAGTGAGGCAGATATAGTTACAGTACTATTGGTCATAATTTATACTCCCTCCGTTTCAAAATGAGTGTCGTTTAAGGTTTTTGCACACAGATTAAGAAATGTAATAATATTGTCATAGAACATTGCACTTTTACTAAATTAGTCTTATTAATGTATTGGAAGTAGTATAAAGTGTAATAATTATAGGACACAATTGGAAAAATTGTAATCATTTCTGCATTGAAAAGTGAGAATGACATTTATTTTGAAACAAATTTTAATAGCTAAAGCGACACTCATTTTGAAACGGAGGGAGTATTTCATTAAATTTTTGCATTTAACAATGTCTTGTAAGTGTCTTTATCTATAACCGGCTTGACACCTTTTTAGTTTTTAGACGATGACTCCATATTTCAGACCATGCATATTTTTTTCCTTATAAAAAACATGCTAAAGCATGTGCAATGTAACAAAGTTTACACAAAGGTGCATGTGTGGCTTATAGCATTTTTTTGACCCCATAGGTTACTCTTAAATTATGATCTCTGCTATTAGAGTCATGTTATACCTTCTACTGTTAATGGAAGAGGTATTGCTTTTGCCAATGACTTTGACATGTTAGATTGGGCTAGTTGAATAATTTCTGTACTGCTATTGATAGTATGTTTTGGTCCATGCTAAAGGTAGAAAAATTCAGTGTGTATTTATATATTTGAGTTTAATTACAGTTGAATTAGAGAGGTTTGGCATTCTTTTGTTAAGTCATGTAAGTTATATTTTTAAAATTACCCCGATATGTTCTCATGACACTGGCTTTTGAAAATACATAACAAGTTTGTGTATTGGATGAAATTGCATATACATAAAGGTATTTACTAGTCTTCCATTTACTGTGCTTATTATCCTTGTAGTATTTGAGACTTCCTCTAACATTGTAATACACTATTATTAGGCAAGGATGTGGAGATTCGTACTGACACTTTTAAAGCAGTTGATGGTAAGAGTGGTGATGTTGATGATGTGGAACCATCATTTTCTGTTGGGAAATCTCCACCGGAAAATGTAAATGTCGGCTCAGAGAAGGTACCTGGTGCTGGGGGCCTAGGCGAGGGTACTCCAAAGGTTTGTCTTAAATTAGTTTTATGTTTGAAGTTGACATCACAAAAATTAGATGGAAGTTTCATACATATTTCTATTGGATTTGAAGCTCATTAACTCATGCTTAACACTTGCAGAGTGAGAGGTCAGCTGACAAGTATTGTGATGATATATTTGGTGAGACACCAACTGGAGTTCGGAAATCGGTAAGTGTTTTATTAGACTATTCAAATTTTGTAGCAACTCATGATATCATTTCTGATTATGGATGGATATATTTATTGAATGGTAATCTAGGAAATACTGTCTTCCATGTCCTTTTCCCCATTTTACTTTTCTCTTACTCTTTGCCTTCTCTGTAAACATGCTTTGGTATATATTTTATGGCATTTCTCCCCTAAACTAAGTAGCCTTCGTTTTTGTAGATGACTTCCTAGTGGCTTTTCATCACACATGACTTAACTTACTCCAGTTGCTTTCTTCCATTATTACTGTTCATTTTTTGGTATTCTTTATGCTTGACTAGAGTTGCTAAACTAATTGTGTATTCTTGTTGATTTGGTGCTATATTTTGTTGTTATATTAAAATTTTCTAAGTCCTTTTCAGGGAAAAGGAGATGGATTATTAATTGAGAGGGTTGGCCTGCATGACAACTGGGATGATGCAGAGGGCTATTACAGTAAGTAATTCATTTGACTATATCTAGCTGTCATGATCATTTTCTTTTAATTTTTGAGTTTTGGCTGCAGAACCTGATTAGTTTTTTGTGCCATGTGATGTGTTGGTCCGAAACTTAGTTTTCTAGGTAACTTCTTCAATATTTGGTCGTGGTAGTTGAATTTTTTACACGTTCTTTCAAGTGTGATGTCATAGATTTTCCATCAAAATTTTTATTATGGTGTAAGTTTGATGATTTTTGAAGAATAGACGGAAACATAACTGCTATTTAAATACTCAATAAGCTTTGTAAGTTGTTAAAAATGATGTTGTTCAGCCCTTGAGCACTTGAGTAGCTTCTTCTGAGGCATTTCCCGTGGATCTGCTCTTCCAAAGTCGGTCAAAGTATGATGTGAAAATCTGGGGGGAAATCATATTCCTGTTGAAATTGTTGGTCGGTTTATTAGGTCTAATATACTTGGCAAATCTTCTTTCCTGTTCGATTGGTTTATGTTCTGATATTTCAATGCAGGTTATCGGTTTGGTGAAATACTTGATGGCCGATACGAAGTTACTGCTGCACACGGGAAGGGTGTCTTTTCAACAGTTGTACGAGCTAAGAATCTGAAAACTGGTAATGGTGAGCCAGATGAAGTAGCAATAAAAATTATTCGTAATAATGACACCATGTGAGTGGTTTTTTCACAGGGTATCCTTAATTAATTCTTTTTTCATTTTTGTGTAGTTGAGTTAGAGTCTCTTACTCACTGTGATATTTCTGATGTGTGGAATAGGTACAAGGCTGGTTTGGATGAGTTGGTCATTTTAAAGAAATTAGTAGGTGCAGATCCGGATGATAAGCGTCACTGTGTTCGTTTCCTTTCAAGCTTTAAGTATAGAAATCATCTATGTTTAGTTTTTGAATCTCTAAATATGAATCTGCGCGAAGTTTTAAAGAAGTTTGGTCGCAATATTGGCCTTAGGCTAACTGCTGTGAGGGCATATGCAAAACAGCTTTTTATTGCACTGAAGCATCTCCGTAACTGTGGTGTTCTGCACTGTGATATAAAGCCTGACAATATGTTGGTATGCCTAAAATGCTGTTGTGTTTAAATTGATTCTTTTCAGTTTTTTTTCTACCTAAAAGAAATATTCTGTCTTAACTTTTTATTTCAATTTCCTTTTCTACAAGGTGAATGAAGCAAAAAATGTATTAAAGCTTTGTGACTTTGGGAATGCCATGTTTGCTGGTAAAAATGAAGTAACACCATATCTCGTGAGCCGCTTTTATCGTGCCCCTGAAATAAGTAAGTACTGTTCATTGTACTTTTTATTGCCTTACTCCCAACTACTTTTTCTTAGTTACTTATGATTACCAGCTGGGCTTTTGAATGTTTCTTTGCAGTTCTTGGCTTGCAGTATGATCACCCATTGGATATTTGGTCTGTAGGCTGTTGTTTGTATGAATTGTATACAGGGAAGGTTCTTTTTCCGGGGCTCACAAACAACGACATGCTACGGCTTCACATGGAATTGAAGGGCCCTTTTCCAAAAAAGATGCTCCGTAAGGTAAACTTGCTGTTTGATGTATTGTTTATCATTACATTTTGAGTCTTGTGAATCTTTTTAATACTTGACACTCTTGACAAACTAAAAAAATACTACTTGATGCTAATTATTTAGCCTGTCATTTTCTGTCTGTTGGTATTTTAATTTCCAAACTAACCTTTTATATGATCTGTACCTTAAATTGAAATTTTGGTATCAACAAATTTTTTGTTTGTATTTATATCAACTTGTTTTTTGTTCTCTCTTTGCAGGGAGCATTTACCGAACAACATTATGACCAGGACCTGAGTTTTCATGCCACAGAGGAGGATCCTGTAACAAAAAAGGTGAGCTAGACTTATGATTGTGTTTTGAAGTATTATGCTGTTAATAATAAATGGTGTTTTAGTCTGAATAATGTTTGTAATATTATTTCCTAGACCATAAAGCGGATGATTCTTAACATAAAGGCGAAAGATATTGGAACGATCATCAATGGCTCTCTTGGGGAAGATCCAAAAATGTTGGCCAATTTTAAAGATCTTCTAGATAAAATTTTTGTCTTGGATCCGGACAAGAGGTTGACAGTCTCACAAGCATTGAACCACCCATTCATCACTGGCAAGTGATCAATGTTGCAAAACTTGACTCTCTGAAATGATATTCACTGATATTTGTACATATTTATCCAACTGATATTAAGGTTCTAATCATATGGCACTATTTATCTTCTCTGTACGACCCAAGGAGTATCATCACAGTTGTTAGCCTCTTGAAGTGAAAAAGTGTGATGTCGCTAAAGGCGTACACTTAACTGGCCGTTCTCAGTGGAATGTACTGTTTCTATTGTAAGACAACTTGCCAATGGCAGTTTTTCTTTTCTGCAGATGTATTTGTACTTGAAACACTACTCTTGCAATTAAATCCATGGAAATTTTTACTTTGAGAAGTTTGGTTTTGTATTCCATTCGAGAAGATACTTATTTATTCTGTTATCTGGTCTTTTTTATATTTCTTCTTTTTACTAGTTTGCATAATCTTTTGTTGAATAATTCTTGCATTGATTATGCTCAGATTCTCCTTAGTCGTCACTATTTCTGCAATGCATATTTCTTTTCCATTTCATGTAACTTCATCGAATTCTGGAGATTCTAATTGAATTTCTCATTCAGGAGACACCACGGGTTTGAGGCTTCCCTCCCATGCTTAGATGCATAGAAGGAACCCAGGAGAAGGTATCTTGGTTTGTTTATTGGGAGATTAAATTCGCCGTTTTAGAATGTATTATACTGTTTGGATTGGAAATATATTAAGATGAGACTTAAGGCTCTTGCTTGAGTCATTAAAAAATTTGAGCTCATAAATTATTTGTATTTTAGGTAGGTGCATAAATTAGGATGAGTGGTTAGTCTTGAACCTGCTTTTTCATCCAGATGCAGGTTCCAGTGCTACACAAATGCCTAATTGCCACTATTTTGAAGAAAATTTCAGTGTTAGGGAAAGAATTACCTAGAACTGTGTTTTCTACGCTTCTTTCTTCTCCTTAGTATTGGCTTGAGTTGGGCATATAGATATTCAATTTATATAGTTGTACTTGAGCATTTCATTTTGTCCGATGTCTTGTTTTCTTATTATTTTCTTAAGTTTGCCTTTATGTATCCTAATGGATTACTGTTGCATTTTATCCATGGTGGGTCAACTGGAGGCATTTCTATTGGATGTTTGGCTGTGTTCTTGAAGTGTTTCTTATCTCGGTGAGCAATTCATTTCTTTTTTTTTTGTTTTATTTTTAATAGGCTTGTGGGAAGGTTAAAATTGATACTGCTTTTATTTGATGAAATTTTAATGGTTTTGATTGTCTATCTTTTTAGGTTAACGTATCATGCTCCCGCAACTGCAACTTTTGTAAGTATATTGATGTCCAATTCCTTTCTCATCTTTGTCAATATTAATTGCCTTGATTGTCCATGACATCCAGTTTCCTACGATGATAATACATATCATTTCTGTTTTTACACGTTGATGTGTTGCAAATTTGCAACTACGTCAATAGTTTTCTGCAGTGTTTTCATTGATATGTTGGTGGTGTTTGGGGCAAGATTTAATTTAATTTTCCTCATGTGATATGGTGTTTTTTCTCCCATGTATGCCCAGGGATCTTGGTTTGTTCCTTATGTTTTGCATAATTTTATGCTTCCAAATTTATCAACTTGTGTGGTGGTTAGTCTCGTACTTTATTCTCAACAGCCAGTGATGACAATATGAATTCCTTTCTCTATTTATTTTACATGATAGAAGGAACTCCTGTTTTTGAAAATTTTGGTGCTACTGAGCTTCTGATGCTATAGTAGTGTCCTGTAAAGGGTGAGATCGATTGTTCTGTAGCATCTTCGCATACATGAGGGTTTTCACAACTTACTGTTAAATATCTGAAATTATATATAAGAAAGAATTCATGGGTATGGGGAAAAGAACATTGGATTAGAAGAGAGAATTTCTCCAAGAGAACCAATAAAAAACCAATTGTCTAAGACGTGGCTTGTTTATACCTTGGAATCTCTGATTTTTGTTGCATGATATGTGTGACCACATAATAGTGTGATTTCTTCTGCCATTCAGGATACGGTTCTTAGTGATTTTCCATAATGAATTGAAACTTTTTTGCTAATCATGTCCAGAAGAAAGGAAAAAGAAATTATGATTTCTATAGTAGGGTCCTGTAAAGTGTGAGCGATTGTAGACATACTGTAGCATCTACTGAGCTTCTGATGCTATAGTAGTGTCCTGTAAAGGGTGAGATCGATTGTTCTGTAGCATCTTTGCATACAAGAGGGTTTTCACAACCTACTTTTAGATATCTGAAATTATATTTAAGAAAGAATTCATGGGTATGGGGAAAAAGAACATGGATTAAAAAGAGAGAATTTCTCCAGAGAACCAATAAAAAACCAATTGTCAAATATGTTGTTTGTTTCTACCTTGGTAACTATCTGATTTTTGTTGCATGATGTGTGACCACATGATAGTGCATTTTCTTCTGCCATTTGAGACATGTTTCTCAATGATTTTCCATAACGAATTGAAACTTTTTTGCAAATCATGTCGAGAAGAAAGGAAAAAAAAATTCTGATTTCTATCCTCTGATTTGAATTTATTGTTGTCAATCCCCAGGGTTCCACTTTCTGTAGGCAACAAATGCTACAATACTAATTTTATATGGTGATTGTTTTCCTTTGATAATGGAATTGAAAAGAGGTAATGTTGAAGAAGTGAATTTATTTAAGCGCAATAACTCAAGTATTGATGTAGTTTCACCCATAAACCTTCAATGTCTTCCTCTTCAAATTGCTGGCCCTTTACATCATTCCGACCCTACATATCTTTTGGTGCCATGACATGATTCATCACATATATTTCACTGTTGTAAGTGAAAACTTTTGTAACTGTCTTTCTGTTTTGATATACCCTTAGGTAATCGTATGTTTAAGGTTTTCTGAAATTGGGATCTTAGCAATGACCTTGAAGGTTTTTGTTGAATTGGATATAGAATCAGGTTGTGTGAAAGATTATGTTTGCATTTTCTAATTGCTTTAGTTTAGGTTTAGAAAAATCTATGTCTCACTTATTAAATTGTGCAATATAGAGTCTGGTTGCTTAGTCTAAAAACTCAAGATATTTTGAAAGCAACCAATATATTCAATTTGGTTTCTAATTTGCACATAGAAATATTCCAATGTATAGAAAAACTGAGTATTGCATTGAGGCATGAATAAAAGAATATTTGTTATGATAACTCTTGTTTCTCTGGTCAACAATTAAAAACATAGTCTACTACAAAAAGGTTGTTCCATATCAATGGTAAAAAATTGTACCAATCACCAATGTCTTTATATAAGACATTTTACAAATTTTCAAATACCCTTTACAAATTTCATGTGCATTAATGACTTCTTTTCCATAACTCCCTGATTAAATTTATAATTGGTGAACGGAAACTTGTTTTATTATATGATTGTGGGCTAGTTTTGTAAATTCACCCATACTTTATACATTTATTATTGTAATTGACACTCCTAAGCTTTGTAGGTAGTCTTTTAAGAACAGAGGGAAAGGTTATTTGATATTCATTGATAATGTATTAGTTGTCTTTGAACTTGTGATAAATGTATATTATATGGAGTCTAATATTGCAGTTTATGTATAATCCGTTCTTAGTACCGAATGAATGACATGATACAAAGTACAGTAAGTCATTAAAATATCATAAGTCTATGTTGCTGAATTGAAGGGTCTGTTTCTCACGTGCCCGGAAGTATAGTTGGGTGGTTTTTTTGGGAACATGTTTAATGTTCTTGTGCTTGATTTAATTTCAATTTATGAAAGCATTCCAATCTTTATTGTTTATTATATCAACAATGCCCTTTAATATCTGAGTTTGAGTTCTTGGCATGATGTTTTCTCATGCTGTCAGCGTTAAGTATTCTGCTTTTCCAAACATTGAGTGATTATTGTTGGCTGCATTTGCATTCAATTTTTAATATAATTAATAATTAATTCCCCTTTGTTGTCTTTAAACACGGCATCTTATGTACTCTAACTAAAATGAGTTTGGAAGATTTGTTTTGAATTTCGTTTTAGATTTTTTTTTTCAGTTGTATTCTTTAATAATTGAAGTGAACATTACTTCTAATATAAATTAAAGGTAATTTAATAATATTATAATGTTTTTGATCACTATAATTTGCCTTTGTTAAAGGATTTTTTTTTGTAATAGTTTAGCGTTGGAATTTGTAGTATTAACAAATCTTGCTTGTGTTGGAATTTCGATTGATGACATGAGACTAGTTATGATGTCCTCAAATGAGTTAAGGCCTGACACGATTAACAACAGTTCTGCCATTAGTTTTACACGGAACACTATTTCTTCCTTTCTACAATATTTGATATATTTACAAGAAAAGTGTTTTTTTTTAATAAAAAAAAATGGCATTAAAAATCAAATATATTTATTTTTTGAACAGTACCCTCTAATTAATAATTGGGTCATCACTTTTAAGTTATCATTTTCTATTACATGTTTATGGTAGTGCCTAATACAAACATTTATTAAAGATAAGTAAAATTAATTCTGTTTTATAATAAAGGAAAAAGAATAATTATGGTTTTATTCAAATTTACATATTAACTATTGGTACGTATATATCATCATAATTGTAAAATTTTTTGTTTTTTCTTCATATTTGGTTCATATATATCATCATAATTGTAAGATTTTTTGTTTCCTCTTTACATTCCCGTGCTCTTATGTAGTCTTTAATTTCTAATCTTTTATATTGTTTTCATCTAATTTGTGAAAGTCTATATTTATGTAGAATACTTAGATACAATTTATATTTTTCTCTAACAAAAATATGACAAAAGTAAAAATAAGATAAATTGTGATACTTGTTATATTTTCTATAAACCATATTTATGGAAATGTATCTAAGTTTTGTCTTATATATTATCTTTAATTATTTTTACTTTTTTATTTGTCTTTAACATGATAGAGTTTTTATTTTTCTTTCGTATTTTTATCACTGATATTTTATTTTTGGACATTGAAATACTTATTTTAGTTTTATTTTTG